AAAACATTGACTTGAATGTGTAATGTTTATGATAATTATGAATAACGGTTTTTTTATGGGTGAACGATACTAAAAGACTAATTCTATTGCTTTCTTTGGCATCTTGACAAGTTTCATAAAACGTCCTTCCGGTCTTGTGTACGAGGAAGCTAAAGGCGCTTTGAAAGTTTTCTTGGAATCATACAGAACATGCTAAATGCAAAACTCTAACATTCATCCATCTCTTAGTTAACATCAAATTTAATTTATTTATTTACCGAAAATTATTTTTTGCATATTTTTACAGTTTAGACATTTATGGTTTCAGTGATTTATGCCTCATTGAATAGTAGTAATATTTACCAATTATTAATCAATCATGGTAATATAAACATTAATCTCTCTCTTTCTTTTTATCATCAATACAATTCAGAACTGGCAAAATATATTTGATAGACAAGAAGAACATCAGACAGAAAAAGTGAATTCTTGAATAGAAGAATCACGCGAAGAATGAAAATAATATAAGTGCCCGGATACTTGACATATTAATATTAATATTAGCACAAATGCGATTAAATTACCTACCTCATGTACATATTAATATCATTTCCTTTGTGAGATTGCTTTACATTATTGAGGGAAAAAAAGATGGAATGCTTTTCACGTGAAATAATTAAGATTTATTTTTTAAAAGAAAAATTATGTACAATAATAATGTAGATGTAAAAGTTCCAAAAAAAGAAATAAGAAAAATGATAAAGTTGTAATCGTAAGAGCTTTTAGTTTGTCGATTTTCGACAAACCGAATGAGATCCAAATATAAATCTCTCTTGTCTGTTAAAATAATATTACATTTAGATGTTCCAGCTCTTTCTACTGCACCATCGTTGAATTTATTTTTGGCCGGGACTACCACAATACCAATTGTATCTTCATGGCATTTGGTTAGCACTCCTTCCAATTCCCGCACGACTGCAGGACCTACAATCGATTAATTAATATAGCTATTTTCAAACATACACCAAGTCAATACTTACCGATTCCTCTTCTTTGGTCCTTACACTGGATAATAATCGGGATTCTTACAAAATTCCCAGTTATATCTACACCTCCGTCCCCTGGTCCGGGTCTAAGAAATTAAAAAAAAAGAGTGAGAATTTGCATCATCATCATCAAGAACTAAAAGAAGAACGTTCACAGCAGGCCGTCCACCATACGTCAGGTCTGGATACCTGACTGGTAACTTTCGCAAGCTGTGGCCTCGATGCGCTTTCAATTCAGTAGTTCATGTATCCTATTCACCACTTCGGCCCGGAAATCACATCTATCAGACAGCCTTTCGGAAACGGAGAAGAACGTTCACAGAATGCTGTCCACCATACGCCAGGTCTAAACACCCAACTGGTAACTTTCGCAAGCTGTGGCCCGATGCGCTTTCAATTCTCCGATTTTTACACCTAGTGGCAGCGTAACTTCGGATACATAACGACTCGACAAACTACTCAGTGATATATTTATTCACCTTATTCGATAACATTCTATGCCCACGCGACGGAGAATTCTCGAAATTTCTAACTCGAAGTTGTTACCTCTAGCAACAGATGAAGACATGACATAATAATTGTTATAAATTTAAATTTAATTCTTTTTTATATATCAATGTTTATGGGGCTGTGCAATAAAATGTGTTTAAAGATTTTCGATGCGTACAACATGCGATTAACCAATTTCGATTAATTAATTACCTTATTTACATTCCTTGGCGTAAAGGAATAAGGAATGATGGACTTCGAATAGTGTAACCAAATTATTTCACAATAGCCGATCGGTTACACTTATGTTCAGTGCACTTGAAATTTTGCCACTTTTAATGATGAGTGACTGCGTTGATTTTAAATAAGGATCAGCGGGATAATAAAATGCATATAATTTTAAAAAAATTAAAAAAAGACTAACCAACCCTTCTTAAAAGTAAATTTAATTACATTAGGTTCAATCATTCTTCGTCTACATTATGAAAACAGATTGGAGAAGAACTCTAAGCAAAATCAAAAGGTATATGTTATCTAAATCTAAATAAACATTTTTCTTATCTCCTATGAAAATTTGTATAGAAATTTATTCCCAAGGTGCAGTGTTGAACAACGCACTATCTATATCAATCAACGAAAAAAAAACGCCATATAATAGTATCTGGGACTGAAGATGAAGCAGTTAAAAAGAATGAATAAGGTACAGTTCGCTCTCTATATAACGGATCTTGTTCTATGAATTATTATTGTCTATAACAATACTCTCTACACTCCACACACACTCTACAACGGATCCTTCTATAATAGATCTTGCTTTATAACGGATTGAGAATTTAAGCCTAATTTATATGTCCATATATAAATTATTATTAATATGGTGGTCCATTACGGAGAGAGTGAACTATAAATAGGAAAAAAAATTAATATATAAATATTTTCTAGATGTTAAATTAACGAATTTTAAAATTTTTAGAATGAATTATTGAACTGGTTTGGATTCTTCCGAAAAGCAAAATTTTGGAAAGTGTGGTGGAAGTAAATACATGTCTGAGCAAATAAAACAACTTCTAAGAGATAAGAGTATATTCACTGCTGAAACAATGCTTTCAGATCTAAAATAAAGAGTAGAAACAAGTGAGTTGGATGCAGTTGGGTTACCAAAAATAAAAACTACGCATTTTAGTAAGGAATCAGGCGAAAAAGAATTGTATACTATTATTATTATTATTATTATTATTATTATTATGCCATAAAAAAAAAATACGAACCAACAAACATAATTTTTTAGTTTTATGTATTTTATTATTTTGTAAATTCCGGCATTATGTGTAAAAAAAGTTGATTTTTTATATTTTTTATACCCATAAAAGATTGAAATAGTGCAAAACGGCTTGGACGACAAAAAAAAATTTTTTTTAAAAAAAAAATGTTACAATAGAAAGTATATCAACTGATCGACCACTTACATGATGTAGATGTTCTATGAACTTCAAATAATATTGCAGTATTGACACATGAATATATGCAGGGGTCGTTTTACCCTAAACCTTGTGAAATTATGTATTCTTCACTCAACTGCACAAAAAATGAATACTTGATAAAATTTAATATGCTCGATATAAATCTCATGAATACTATAATATTACAATTCGTTAAATCTTCTAAACACTATAAATCTTATAATTGGGTCATTTACAATGGAATTTAGCAAATTAATAAATAAATTTTAAAAAATACTTGTTATATTTATTTTATTGATATTGATTTAGTTATGTAAGATTCCTTGAGGAGTTTATATTAAAAGATCCATGAATCTTTAGGGACCCTTAAATTTTTTGAAAGAATCCACATTCCACATCATTTTAAGGGATCCTTAAGCTCAAAAGTTTCCTGATGAATTTGAGTCGACTATTTGTTCTTTCCAGTCAACAAATGATAAAATTTTGTCCATGTGATGGATGATCGATAAATTTTCTATAGCAACCTCTCTCTATAATAATAATAGCTATTTCTGAAGATTCGCCTATACATACAGTACATTTTAATTATTGAGATCGGATTTTTAGTGTTACATTAAAAGCAGTTATATTAATATGGAATTTAAATAACGAGTTTGAGATAGAGTTTGATTTTTCGAATCAGAGATTTATATATTAATATGAATTAAAATAGATTTGAGTTTGAATCGGAGATATGGAATTTAAATACGAGTTTTTTATTTTTTATTTATTTTTGGAAAAAATAAATTTACCAAATATGGCATTTTTCAAATCAGTAAAATAAATTTTTTTTTTAAAATATGAATAAAGAAGATTTATCAAATATTTTGGAAAATGAAAATCTTATGACTTCTGTGCTTGGTGAAATTTCAGAACTTTTCAAAACCAATCAAGAAGAACTTAAATTTCAATTACTTGATTTTTTTCATGAATTATTTTCTCGTTTTACAGATGAGGTATATTTAATATATATATATACACATGTATATCCAACTTTTTTAATTTTAAATTTTTAATTTTTAGAAATTTAATATAGTTTTCAAAGAACAAAAAAATTATAATGTGATTATTAATATCAGAGATGGGTTAAAAGATATTTTAAGTAATAAATTAGGTAATGAGGAAAGAGATAAAGCATTATCTTTGGTAATGCTTTTACTTGATCGTTTTGGTGGCAGATGGCTATTCTCACCAAATATCGATGAAGACTTTTCACATAAAAAGCTATCAAAATATCCAAAAGAAAAGGTCAATGAAGATTTTAAATTTGCTGCACTGGTGATACAATTGGCATGTGTTGAAATTAGATTACTGTTGGATGAATTGATGGATCAATATGAAATTATTGAAAATAAAGACCTTAAAGACAATAATAAAAATAGTGATGATGATAATAACAATAATAAAGGCAATAATAATAATGTCAATAATCCTTATAATAATACCAATAAACATGAAATAATGTTACCAGTATGTTACACTATTTTAGAAAAATCAATAGAATACTTTTCACAATTTGAAAATTATTTGAATTCTCAAGATGACAATGTTGAAGTTGCTATAAAATTTGATCCAGAAATATTATTAAAAATCAAAGGGATTTTAACTGAAACATTTAGAGCAATAATTGATAATTTACTTGAATTCAAAGTAAGAAAAAATTTTTTTCCTTATTAATCTACATATTTGGTTATTTTAGATTCACTGATTCATTGATTCATTGGTTGATTGATATAATTTAGGAATATACAAAAAATGATGTTAAAGCAGCAATTAATGATTTTAAAATTTTAGCAAGTATACGGGTCCTTTCATCATGGTTAGCTGAAGAAAATGAATTTCAAAAAGAAGTTTCACTTCTTATGCCATTCTTAATCAATATTTGTTCTTATAGGTTTGAAAAAATACATTAATAAAACCAATTTATTTATTTGACAAATAAGACTTTATGTTAATAATTATTTTATTTTGTTAATAAAAATGCAGTGAAAAGGAAAACTTGGAATTAAATCTTGTTAAAATTATGATGCCAGCTTATTTGAATCTCACATCTCAGGAAGAACCTCAAGATGCTTTTCTTTCTCATGGTGGTAGTAATTTAATAATTAATCATATACTTAATATTTGGTCTAATATAAACAGCAGTGGTAGCAATAGTGCCAGTAGTAGTAATGTTGATAATATTAATGTTAACGAAATTTATTCAAGAGATTTTGTTAATGATGTTCTTGGTCCAATACAAGTTTTATTAAATATAATTGTGTCAGAAAGAGAAAAATTTGTTATTAGAAATGAGAAAGAAATATCAAAAGTCATGAAAATATGCTTTCAAATCTTAAATCTTCTTGGTAAATATTTCTTTTTTCATGCCAAATTAAATTATGTGGTAATATTTATTTTATTTATTTATATATACAAACACACATTAATTTTTTTTTGTTATTTAGACAAATCCATAAATTCATCATCATTATCTTCATATTCTTCTTCTTCATTATGCAACAACAATCAAATAATCCTTTTTTCAAATATCTTATTATTTTGTTTATTGATTATAAGAAACACACCTCCATCATCAGATCAATTAATTGAAAATATTAATTTAATAGAAAATCTAAAAAACATTGCAAATAATTTTTATGGAAATATACAAAATAATAATAGTTTGATAAATGATTTACAAATTGAAGAATTAATATATTTGGGAAAACAGAATTTAGAAAATTTTTAAAATCATTCAATATTTTATCAATTCATTATCTTTGTTATTTTATAATAAAGTAATATTTACAATTTGAGAAAAGCAAAATATGGCAACCAATAATTAGGTTCTATTGTGACTTATATTTAATGTTTTGCTTAGGTTATCAATGATGATGATTGTGTGGTCTAAATGCTTGGTTATGATTAAAAAAGAAATATTCAGACCTTTAGTACACAGAGATAGAATTCATTATTAAATTTTTTTGAGATTCAAGAAAAAATGGCATGTTGCAACAAAACCAAAGTGAACTTTTGGTATTACCAACAATTTCAGGGGCCGAAAAATTATAACAACTGTATTGTGATTATGATTTTTGTTTTTTGTTTCTTATATAGGATTACCTCTGCATAAAAATAATTAATATGAAACTCATCTACATCAGATCTACTATGGAACCCAGCACCACTAGGAGTATTTTGAAGAAAGAACATGGTGAAAAAATTGCTCCTTATATTTTCAAGTAAATGATACTCAGACACTTGAAGCTTATCTGGGCCTGATCAATAGAAACGAGGCATGTCAAAAAAATCATGTTTTGGGAAAATCAACAAATAAGATTTTGACCCCCAAAATTCATCATTTATTTATAATAATAATAATAATTGCTCATGTAACATCATGTAGACTAATGCCATTTCACTTTTTCTCAAATATCTCAAAACAATTATAAGCAAAGTGGGTATAGTCACTAAGCTAAAAATGTTCTTTGTGATGAATTACATATAAAAATATTGTTAACTCAAAATCAACTTTTTGGTGACATGCCTTGTTTCTATTGATCAGACCCCATCTAAGGAAAGAAGATCACCTATGAAATTTACCAAGAGAGAAAAATAATAAACATTAGAAAAGAGAGCAGAATGAGGATGCACAATTACAAACAAAAGACAAAAATCTCTGGGCAAAAAATCTAACAAACTTACTGTCTATTTTTATCTTCATGAAGAGATTTCTGAAACAAATATTAATGTTTTATAATGTTTTACTCCAACCATTATTTTAGGAGCCCCCTTTTCATGATTGAGACTGACTCTTTTTTTTTAAAAAAACTATTTTAAGAATAATCAATCATTCTTTTCTTCAATTACAATAAATACAGTTGTACATCTGGAAAATATAAAAAAAATTTGCATGTGTCAATTGTAAGTTTAATAATAAAAAAGTGTAAAACTTACGTCAGCACTGTAAGATTTACACAATATTACATCAGCACTGTAAGATTTACACAATATTACGTCGGCATCGTAAAATTTATGCAAGTTTACACTAAATTAATTTCCTGATGGATTTTTTTATGGTACCCCTTTTTTCTCCAAAAAGGAAACAGTGTAACAAAATATATTTTCAAATATGTTATTATGTTATTAGTATTATGAACTTTCAATCGCTAAGGCTTTTGGAAAATCATTACATTTATAAAATTATTAGAGGTTTTTAATTAGGATACATTTGTAGAACAGTGCTATGGAGAGAGAATCTTTATTTCATACAATTTTTTCGGAAGTTGCAATAGATAGAAGTATTACTATTACGATAAAGAAAGAAATTTTCTGTATTTCGAATGAGTTTTTTACGCCACTGGTATTTTTAATCCATTAAATCTTTCCATAGCTCTAAAGTATAATTTATATACTACCTTTCATGGAAATTTAATGCCTATATCTTTGAAAACGGAGGAGGAGTAGTGTTTTGAAAACAATGTTCTTTACGTAAATTTCGGAAATTCTGCAAGTGATATGCAGATCAAAAAATTAATTAGTTTTGATAAACACTTACCCAAAATACTCATCTCGATCTTTTTCTGTTTTTTTTTTTTATTTTTTTTAAAAAAAACACGTAAACAAAATGTAAAATAATTAAAAAATTATTATTGGCACTTGGTGTTGTACATACTTTTTTTTGATTTTTTTTTTTGGAAAACAATTTTTCAATGACAAAACGTGAGTCTCCTAAAGAAGACGTGTTAATAACTAACCAGAGATACTTTTGTTTATTTGCCTTGATATATATAATGTGGTGTCTTTTAATTTATAAATATTTTAATTGGAATCCAAAACGTGGAGCAGATCTTGCTGGATAATTATAAGATTCTTGATGATGATAAATGAACGATTGATATTTTGCTTTGCGTAATCATTAATAATATTATTGTTATTATAATTACAAGATGTCAAGGCAGCACAACTGACTGTTGCAGAAGAAACATTTCAATATGCAATGCTTGATTATAAGAAATTTTAGAGACATTGAAGCGTTCATGCTACCTTGAACACTTACAGTCATTCTCACGAATTCCTCATGTATAAAGGTTAATCTGACAAGATTGCCCTGAGATACAATGATATTGCAGGATTCCCAGGGGGGTGCACGGTTCTGGAGTTTATCATGACTGCATCAATCGTCAAGGATGCTTTCACTATCTTCACAGCACCAGACCAGAGAAGACTGCTGGCACACTAGCCAAAAAGTTGACTGCAATTATTCAGAAACTGATTTATATCCAATACCAAGTCATGCCGATTGGACCTATTTACAAAAATATGGTGTAAAAGCTAGTAGTGGTGATGGTAGAGCATCAGCAAGAGAAACAATAGGTAAAAAGACATAACAAATAGATAAATTGATAAAAATCAATTTAATAAGTTTAATAATTAACTGGTTGATTAGGAAGAGTGGCAGCAGGAGCTATTGCAGAGAAATATCTTAAAATGGTTTATAAAATAGATATTGTAGCATTTGTTTCTTCAGTCTCAAATATAAAATGCCTTTTATCAAAGAAATAGGCTATCATAATAATGATGATCAATTATATTCACAAGATTTTTGGATATGTTAAACAGCATTTCTAGAGATGGTGTTGGTAAAAATATAGTTCAATGTCCTGATAAGGAAATTTCAGTAAGAATGACTCAGGTTTAAAAATAAAATTTAATAAATATTTATGCTTTATAAACTCTACAATTTTATAATATAGTAAATTCAAAAAAATTTATTTATTTTAGTGTATAATTAAAGCAAAAAAATCTAATGATTCTGTTGGTGGAACTGTAACATGTGTTATTCGTAATGTACCATCAGGATTGGGTGAACCATGTTTTGATAAGTTAGAAGCTAAATTAGCACATGCAATGTTTTCAATCCCTCTACCAAAGGATTTGAGATTGGAAGTGGCTTCCAAGGTACAACTTTGTATGGTCATCAACATAATGATCTTTGGATTAAAAAGATAATAATGTATTTGGAACTAAAACTAACCATTCTGGTGGAATTCAAGTAAATAACTTTTTCATTATCATTCAAAAGATTTAAAGATTATGATTAGAATAATTTGATGTTTGTTACCGCCCAGATTAAAAAATGTTAATGATAATAGGGAGAATCAATCACAAACGGTGAAAATATTTATTTTAGAGTTGCAATTAAACCATCAGCAACCATTTCTCAAGAATAAAAAACTGCTACATATGATGGTGTTGATAGAATTCTTGTTGCAAGAGGCCATCATGATCCTTGTGTTGTACCACGTGCTGTCCCAATTGTTGAGGCAGTGGCTTGCTTTAGTTGTTATGGAGTAAGTTATGAAAAAATATGAATTAATTTTATATTTATATTTATTTATATTTGATTGAGACTGACTCTTTTTTTTTAAAAAAACTATTTTAAGAATAATCAATCATTCTTTTCTTCAATTACAATAAATACAGTTGTACATCTGGAAAATATAAAAAAAATTTGCATGTGTCAATTGTAAGTTTAATAATAAAAAAGTGTAAAACTTACGTCAGCACTGTAAGATTTACACAATATTACATCAGCATCATAAGATTTATGCAAGTTTACACTAAATTAATTCCTGATGTAGACAATAAGTAAAAACTTGAGATGAAAAAAAAACAAAAAAAAACAGCCTAATGTTCTTTTGGTAATTGAAAGGAATTTGCTGCTTCACAAAATTGATTGCATAGTATATAAATATGTTCCACACCTACATGTACAGTTGAGTAGAAAAGTTGGGTCAATAAATCTTTTTTAAACTTGATTTGTTTTGGAACAAATTTTCTACATTTGAAGGTGCTGAATCGTAAGAAAAAAAGTTAGATCTTTGCAAAGTTGATATTTGTACAAAAATTTTTTTTAAATATTAACTGTTGTTGCACTTGAAAAATTTGATAACCTAGGTATTGATTTGAAATTTCTGAAACATAAGATGATTACCTCCCATACCATTGTAATGTTTACTTTCTTAACGATAATAGTTTCTCGAACGGTATTTTAATGATTGTAAAAATACAAGTTAATCTTTATTATCTTAAGATGATGTCCATTATATATAAAATTACATAGATTGATAAAATATAAATAATAATATAAGATTGATAAAATATAAATAAAATATAAATA